ATTTGCGACTGTTGAGAGTGGTTTTTAACAGTGTCTGTTTCCTTTGTTTTGGGATTGTTGAATTTTTCACACACTTTTCAGTATTGTTAAAAGCAGTTATATTTCATTTTTGAGGAAATTTTGTTTCAGTATTGTTAAAAGCAGTTATATTTCATTTTTGAGGAAATTTTGTTTTGATTGTTGGATCTCTGGAGATTCATCGTGGAAATTTGGACTTTAAAGCAATGGGGTTCAGTTTCCATTGTGAGATTTTTAATGGTATTAATAGTTGGAATAATCTTAAAATTTGGACGATTTGAAAGACTGATATTCATTGAGATTCTGAATGATTAAAATTCAAACACTTTCGAGTTATGATAATTATAAGATTAGCAATTAAACTCGTAGTAATAAGAATTTTGATTTCAAGTATCTGATCTTTTTTTTAAAATATTTAAATAGAATTAAATTGAAATAATTATTTGGATACAGTTCGATTGTAAACTATCTCATCTCCGTCAAACTCGTCATTTTTATTTCCAATTGAGAAGCTTCAATTAAAATCTCGATTAATTAAATTTTAAGTTTCGAGCGAAGATCTCCATTAAGATCTTGACGTTAAATGCCTCTGAATATTAATAGAGTTAATTAAAATTCCTTCGAAGAAATATCCCAAAGAAAATCAACTACTCGTGTAATCTTTAGTAATTTCAGGGATCTCGATGTAGGAGATGAGGAAAATCATAATTGTAGAACAGCTTCACGAAGCTTCATTCTACTCGATAGATTCGACCCGGTGTCCTTTTTTTCTTTCTTTAGGATTTAGGATGGAAAGGAACATTGACAGGTTGATGTATCATCGTATTATTATTGCGGGGATTATTTTTCAAAGCACATAGCAATGAAAGGAATTCTTTTGTTTTTTTGTTATTTACCTAAAGCTGAACGATGTTTCGCCTCGTCAAGGAAAAACGGCTCTTTAAACCCTGATGACTCACGGGCACACGATATTCTGCAACTATCAGTCAATTTCGGTGGATCGTACTTCAGGTGAGATCTACACAAAACGAGAAAGCCAGAGATCAGGCGGGTTGAAAGATGATTATTTAAATAATAAATTATCTTATTCGACTTATTTGAGATGAAACTTGTGTCAGTTCGTTTGAACGAGCAAATAAATTTTTTTCCCAAAGTTATTCATTGTCGAAGAGAATAATTTTTTTCAATTCCTTCAATCGAATTTTTACATCGAAACGTAATCGATAGCGTACGTGCAAATTACTGTTGAAAAATTCTTAACTAAAAACTAAAGGGAATATAGCGTTTTAAATAATTTTGATAATTTACAATGCATTTTAGAAACATGACGATTCGATACAAAGGCATCGAATTAATTTCTACACTTGATATTTATTTTTGCAATATTATCAATTTCCTTACAATTTGATACCGGGACAGAAACAAATTCAGTTTAAGAAACAAGGGATGAATGAAATACTATGAGAGAACGAGGGTTAATAAAATTACATACTAATATATATATATATAATTTTCAAGGAAAATTGCTGCCAAAATTTCATCAATCTTATCTGTAACAATTTATATGTAAGTATACCAAGCAGTAACTAATATTAGCTGACTATGTGTACCGTGAGTATACTAGCTCAATAGATATAAGTTTAGAAAGTGGCGAGAGAAGATTATACAATGGTCAGAACGTTAAGACCACGGAATATGGACTTACAACGGTCGGCATCTGGGCACCTCAATTAAACCCACTTAATCCCTCGGAACACCGTACCATAGATAATCTCTACCAACCTATTTGGATCCACTTCGGCGTACTCTGGCTGGCCAACGAACGGCGACGCTGTTTTTCCAAACGCTTCGGGCTTCTCCAAGTGGATCGTCGATGCTGGAACATCTCGATCCACCAAAGGGGATGAACATCTTCCTTCGTCTTTCAGACCTTTAGCTTTGGAGAAATCGACGACGTCCTCGCCGTCCTCGCGAATTCGACTCCCCTCGTCCACGTCAGAAGTATCCTGAAAATCCTTCTTTCGTGTTCTGTATCTATCCTGAAAATTGTATCAAGCGTCTCGACTTCCGGTCGTTGATTTCTATACAATTTCCAGAACGAGCCTCTCTCTTTCGAATCAAATTAGTTATGCATGGAGGAACGTCTTTAATCGTTTGGCTTTTCGATTTTCATTGAAGAACGAAATTTCATTAATTCTAGAAGTCCATGACTTAAACAAAAATTGCATACTTAAAGATCACGATAAGAATAGAAATATATATGTAGATAACAGTCTCGGTGGACTTACTATGTGTTTGGAAATAATCTCTTGATTAATACTTTATATATAATTATTATACGTTCAAGTGACAATTTTAAAAGTAAGTTACTGGAAAATTCTTTTATTAATTTATTTATGAAACAAATCCACATTTATTACATGATATCACATTTCTATCGTTGTTTAATTGGATTAACATGGATTTCTCCTGTCTTTATGTATCATCCTTTTTATGATTCTTCATTTTATTTTTCAACTTTACATTTCAGGCTAATCGTGCAATAGTTTAAATTAATGTACTAATTAATCGATATGTGTCTTAAACTCTATAGTAATATCTTAATTTATTTATTGATTTTAAATCTGAGAATATTTATGCACTCATTATACTGTAGCAATTCATGTACCAATTAACAGATTAATTAATTGGATAATACAGCGATGCTCTACTTCATTTACTAATTGTAAATTCCAAAATATCTACTGTTTATACTGAAATTCATTGGCCCATACTTCAAATAAAACAGTCATTATTTACCCTATCTATTGATTTTAAATTAAGGAATAATTTATGCATTATTTATATTGAAATTTATCTACTACCTCCAAATGATAAAGTAATATCTCAAGTAATAAAATAATTGCCTACTTTATGCGTCAATTTTAAGTTTTAAAATATTTACACTGATATTCATAAGTTAATTCATTGATTAATTAACTTTGAATAATGCAATAATTCTTTTATTCGTGGATTTTAAGCTGCCGAATATTTATGCATTATTCGTGTTAAAATTCATATACCAATTGATTGGCCCATGCCTTAAATAACACAATAATTCTTTACTTTATTCATTAATTTTTAATTCTAGAATATTCATGCACTGTTTATACTGAAACTCGTATGCTAATTCGTTGATCAATATTTCAAACAATGCAGCAGCAATTCTTTACTTTACCTATTGCTTTTAAATTCTAGAATATTTATGCACTGAAATTCAACGTAGTAATTCTTCATTTTACCTTGGATATTTATATTTATTTAATATAATAACTCTTTATGCTATGTAAAATATTTACACACCAGTTGTACCAGTAATGTATAGAATGGTAGACAAAAGAGAGTTGAAAATTGAAGTTTTATACGTGAACAAATAAAAAAGTTGCATTAATTAATTATTAAACTGTAGATTTTTATACGTTTACAGGAAACTGGAAGCTAGAAAATTCTACAGAATACACGTGACATGAAAAAAAAAAGATATTAAAATATCCAAGCTATAATGCTTTCTACATTTACCGCGTGAAACAATGAATTTTCTACCAAAATTCCGAATTCTTTAATCCGAAAAGCATAAAAATCCGCAGTCCACTTATCAGTTACAGTGCTACAGTAAAGTTACATTTCTTCCGTCTCGAAACTCCCTTTTTGGCCGCCGCCAAAAGTATATCAATTGATTAATTCATACCTCGAAAGGGAAGCATCGTTGACGATTCACTTCGCAGCTACCGGCATCGCCCAACTCCCAATCCTCCGGTTTATCCGGATCGTACCTCACGAATTCGTCTCTGACCACACTGTTCGCGCCGCAGTTCAACTTCTCCAGGACCTGATACGGCGATAGGTTATCGGACCTCGGTATGTAGTCCTCCAGCCGTACGCTCGTTTTCTGTGGATTAGAATAAATTCGCTCGTTATCCAACTGAGGATCGTTGTCAACCTGGGTTTAACCCTTTCGTTGCAGACGCTCGCTGCTGCACGAAGCGTACGATGTGGTTAGAACGTAGTGTGGTAACGTACCAGTGGAAGAACCGGAGCGTGTATTCTACGCCTTGATTAATCAAGAGATTTGTTGCTGGGTGTGGTAGGTGTTTCAGCGTTGAAATCTCGGGGAGTCAAGCTATTCGGAAGCGTACGACTTGAAATTTCTATGAAGCGAAGCGGCGGAATAATTTAAAGATTCAAATATTCATTTTACGTTTCGCGAGCAAGGCAATGGAAAGAAGCATAAAATCGAGAGGAAATTTCAAGCGTGATACAAAACGTAATTCATTCGATTTGCCCGAAATTGAAGAAACTGAGATTAAAATAATTGATTCGAATAATCAATTGTACGAAATCTTTGGGAACGAAGCAACCAAGAGGTGAAGAAAAAATTATAATTCAGAAATTGAAGCATTTGATGAAATTCCGATTGCTCAAAATCTCCCATGAATCGAATATCTAATTCCTCAATACACTCTAAAACAAAGTACTCGACAAAATTTAAATAAAAATCCAACCATTCAATTATGCAAAAAGCCCGTCATATCACAGGAAACAAAAATTAATCCTTTCATTGTCAGTTAAAATAATGGATTGCTACAAAGAAAAAAAGTCTTCTTACCAGAAACAGTCTCTTGTTGATCTGGTATAGATTTATCATCTATTCCTTAATATGTGTGAAATTGCACGTACAAGTTAGGAGGTTAAAATCCAGGCAGTGACGATTTCTCAAAACTGCTCGAACCAAAGAGAGAGCCGAACACGAGAGGACAGACAGACAGTCTGAGAAAGACAACCGATCCCGGAGAATTCGTAGGGTGGTCGCGTATACCTCCGAAAACGGCGAGAGGAAGGATTCAGCCGGAAGTGATCCGGTGCTGCTCCTGACGGGTCTCCCGGACTTCCTCGTTTTGTCCCGGCGTTGTTCGTGCTCGTCGTTTTCTTCCGGCCGGTGCCTGGCCACGTCCAACTCGTCGTAATTCGGCAGACTGACGGTGCTGAAGTTCTTGGGCCTCGCGTTGCTGCCCGATTTCGGATGGTCCCTCGAGGGATCCTTCGTTTGCTTCTCGATCTCCCTCGATCGCCCCTTCTCCTCGCGATTAGGGGTCGACGAATCCTTGCTCGTCCGACTCCTCGCAAATCTCTCATACTCCTCGCTCTCGTGGACCTTGCGCTGATGCTGGCTGCTCTCGAAGAGCCTCTTACCGGAAACCATGTCGCTCGATATTATCCTTCCGGTGCCGTTAACCTACAAATCCGTCCAATTCGTTAACACTTTCGTGGCTGTTAGAGTTTTTAAGTACGAAATTTTTTTATCTTTTTTCCTATTACGTTTAGATTTTATATTTAAATTTTTTAAATATAAAAACATTAAAATTAAACTTTTTTTAATATAAAAATATAATCGTATTATATCTAAATTTTTTTTAATAAAATTTTAAGTGTACAGAGTGTCCTTTGAAACAGCGTGCTCCACGCAATTATCTCCTAATCTAAACTACTCATTATAGAAAAAAGTGTTTCGAGTAAAAATTATTTTGTTTCGAGGGTTCGAGATGATCTTTGTATTTTTAAATGAAACTATATTTTTCTTTTGATGGACACGTAACGTATAATAGTTTTGGAAATAATTGCGTGGGATATTTTTTTCAAATGTAACAAATTTTTTACTACTATTGGGATTTATCTGCCTTAATTCAAATACGTGCATTTCAACAAAATGACTTTAAAAACAATACTTAACACTCTTAATTTACAATCATTTACCTTTCTTATAATTTACTTAATTTAAGTAAAAGTTGCAAATATGTCTTTTTGATATATCCCATTTTCAAGACTATCACAAACCTAATTCTTTTTTTATGGATATATATAGAATATATTTTTTTATAAAATGTTTGCCCGATAAATCTCTTTATATATCACTCTTTATATATTTATATATACATTTCAAATTTTTCTGGAGACTGTAAATCTTTTCACAATTACAATACTTTCGAATCCGAAGCACAAGTTGAATTTCAAGAGGAACATGAAAGAGACGTAAAACCAAAATCAAACTTCAAAGAAAGGACACCTGTGACAGTTATAAATTCAGAAAACTTAACAGAAATAATAAAAAAATACTTCTACGATGATTCTAAAAGACGCGAACAATTAATACTGAAACAAGAATATATCGAATCGAATTTGAAAAGGACGCATAAAACAAGACAAAATTTCAAAAAAAAAGAAAAAAAAAATCAAGAAAGCAAGCAATAAAGGAAAGGACATTTATCGCAAAAGAACAAAAGAAACCATCCCTCCATTTTATTTCAACAGAAAACCATAGTGCTCGCACCCCTGCACGGCCCAACCCTCGCTCGTAACGAACGGTTGGTTCAATTCAACGCGATCCGTAAATATTTCCTAATGTCGCGTCGATATTTGTTTCACAGATTCTCTTTTGTTTGTCGAATCGGGCGGCCCGTTTTACGCGGGGGATAAATATTCTCCGGTGAATATCGAATTCGTCGAGCGAGAGGATTTACAATGGTGATCATCCTCCGCAACTCGCCTTGTGTTCGTAAATCTCCTTGGCTCTTCTTCCATCGCGTTCTGCGTCGTCCTGCGACCGATGTCTATCCGTTTTGGTCTCCTCTTCCGCGTCTTGCTCGTCGCCGCTGCTCCTCGGCGACCTCACCGACGAGTATAGCGGCTCGTCACCGGTCTCGTGCCGTTTCGAACTGCTCGACGAATTTTCGGCCGAGATCTCGTCCGGTTTCGGTGGCAAGGGCCTGCCCTTGTTTCGTTTGCGACGCCTGGGAGGCGGGATCGGTGTCACGTCCTTCAGATTTGGACCTGGATCTCAATTCAATTTCATTTCATTTCATTTCAGTTCTTACAACGAACGAAAATAATTACAAATATATAATTTCGTCGGCTGCACGTGGAAAAGATTTTCTTTGTGTTTCTTCATCTTTTCGCTGTATTTCTAAATGAACCTCCTGGATATCTTAGGGATTTTTCGAACACTCGTTCGATCCAGGATTCACAAGGAAACCAAAATTGCTAATTCAACTAACAGAATTATTAAAAAAAAAGCTTTGATCTCCCAATCTCAGCAATGCGTTCTGTATTATTCTATTTTGTTAAAAGACTAGAAATCAGAATAAAATCTTGGAACAAAATGTCAGAATAAAAAAAGAAAGAACGATGCGTTTTGAAAGTGGAGCTTCGAAAACCGGTTCGAATCGTCGTGCGACTTTGCTTCACGAAATTGTCGCAGTTGTCAAATATTTAACGTCCGAATGTGAACGCGAGCGACTGTACGCGTACGTAATGGGCGAAACTATCGCGACGACGCGGATTTGTTCGTAATTCTTTGCGAGGGAAATACGCGTTGCCGAAAATAAGAGAGAGCGGCCGGGAATTTTTGGACGATAGCGTGCTGCACACCGGGCTTCACGACACACGGTGTTACTATCCTTATCAGTCGGCGTGTCGGAACGAGCGTGTTCTCGTTAAGGATACAGCCTGCAATACGAGCGAACGATAAATTGCGAGCTTACAGCTGGACGTGGGGATGGTGGCCGGATAGAGGCTCGTGTCGACGGTTAAATTCGTGAGAGCGGAACTTGCCCTCGGTGTACTCGGCACTTCGAGGTTCACGTCGACCCAGTCGCTCGGATGAAAAGGCCTGTCCACGGAATCTATGCTCCTGCCTCTGGTGAGAGCCTCCCTTGGCGGCGAACCAGCGTACCCTATTTCGGAGCTGCAAATATAATACATCCCAGTGTCCACTGAATAACAACGCGCTGATAGTCGGTGCGAAAATAATACATTTCGCTACGTTTGGTAACATTTGCTGACGTACCTCGTGTTAATACTTGATATATATATATAT